GTTAACCGATGACAATACACCCCCGAGCCGACGAGGTTTTCTAGCCCTCTCCCAGGACTGACCCACAGACCTGCATAGGATGTCAACAGATTTTGGTTTCGCCACTCGTAACAACCGAGGCCGTAGGGCAGGTTTAAGACGAGGAGAAACAGATGGTCTAGTCCTGCGAGTATTGCGGGCTTTGCCCTAACTTAGTACAACCAGCTAGGAGATCCTGCTGGCGGCTAGGTTCAGCGGGCTTAAAACAGGGATGGGAGGATCGAAAAAAGTAAGAACTAAATACCAAATAGAAAAGAACGGAGCACGTCTTCCCGTGGACGTGGGAGTGTGTTCCTTAACCCAGTAATAACCCTTATTCTCTTCAGACTACCAGTTGAGATTGATCAAATGAAATATTTCCCCCCCCTCCAGAGAAGTATGGTTTTAAAACGAGGAGGAACAGATGATCCAGTCTTGCGAGTATTGCCGGCTTTGCCCTAACTTAGTATCCCCAGCTAGGAGATCCTGAGATTCAGCGGACTAAGCAGGGGTGGGAGGATCGACAAAAGGAAAGAAAGAAGTACCAAATATAAAAGAACGGAGAGCACCTTCACGTGACCTCTCTGCTCGTTTCGTCTCAATAGGGTTGCGCCACCGCCAAACTGTGATGGTGAATCCGATACTTGGGAAAAGGGCGAAGTGGAAAACCGCCGCCGAACCGGAAAACTGTACCAAGCTTCGTTTTTATTTTTTTATTTTTACTGTTTATTTCTTTAATGATATTTCCTGCACCCTTCTCACACGCCCTCCCACTCTCACCCTACAACCACCCGCTACCTGTGGCAAGATAACCTAGTGCCGGATTCGTGAGAAAAAGCCGGTCTCATGCCCGTGCCCTCGATCACTCTTACCACCGGGTGCTGTGCTGACCTATTATCTAATACCCGGCATCGGTATTGGTCTTCTAATGACACCCCCTAAACTGAAGAAACTTGTAAGAACTTGGGCGAAATACCCGTCTTGATACCCTGACAGTGTGGACTCGATTAACTCCTACCTCTTGGCTCCTCTACGAGAGGGGGTCCGGTAGTCAGAAAACCCGACGGCCTGATGGACCCCCCTTTTCCAAGTCTCATAGAACCGCAGTGCGCTGCTTTGCCGAAAGAAACAGGCGGGGTGACCTGGATAGACTGGTATGATCCTGGACTGGAAAGCGTCCTAATACCTTTGGAACTCTATTTGCCCTAATCCTCGGGCCCCTCTTTGAGAGGGGGTCCGATATTCAGTAAAGCTGACACCCTAGCGAGCCCCCCTTCTAGTCACATAGGACAGCAGTGCACGGATCTTTCAGAAAAAAGACAGGCGTCCCCAGTGCCATTTACCAGCAAGGAACCCGGCCTCAAAAATGGCAGAAAAGACGCGATTAGGCCTTTAACGAAGGGAATAGGAGACAGCGAACGGGCGACTACTCCGACTATCCCAAATGGGAAATCGACAACTACACTAGGTCCGACAGAGCGCGATACTAAAACGGTCCGTATTAAATCCCAAAAAAGGAAATCTTGGAGGAGAAATCAAAACAAAGGAAGGGAGGATGTATAGAATCTAGACGACAAAAAGCCCTTGTCAACAGACCAAGACACCGAAACCAAATGAGGAAACACGGCTGGATACGGGCATTACCTCATCTTCACCGCTCGACCTGCCAATCCGACCGACGTCCGGAGCTCCCACAGAACGCCTGCTGCCACGGGAGAGAATCGATGCACCCGAGAACTGTGCTGCAAATGTTTTGAGTTGAACGACTTACAACTTCTCCTTCACCGTTGCTCGCGTTACCGAACGGCCGCCACTGCACGTCTGAGCGCGACCACGTACTTCCCTGAGTTCCGCTCTCCCTCCCACCTCAGAGCCATGAACCCTCTCCACAATAGATACTGCTAGGATCCATAGAAAGTTCGCCAGCAACGTGGCGATCTTCGATTCGAGTGTTCCATGAAAGTTCCAAAGGTTAACTGACTGAAATGTCCCTCTTCCCGATGCTACACCACCCTTCCACCACAACCGCGGACAAGTTCTCGCCACTACTGCTCGAGCTCACCTGAAGCTCGAGTACTGGGTGGCACGCCTTTCCCGTGCTGAGCGCTCCGGGACATGGCGATTGAACTCCGCGCCTTCGACGAACAGAAACCCTAAGTTAACGCAGGCGCGTCACGGGACTTGAGCCCTACGGCGCCGCCTCCCACTTTTTCGTTAGGCCCATTTGATTCTCTTTTTGTCACTTGCTTTGAGTTTAAAATTTGCAGTAACTGTGTCACACCATTGAGCTAGCTCAACTCAACTGTGCACTAAGTGGGACATGGGCCCGGGCCCGGGCCCCGGCGGTGGCGAGAGAACCACCGATATTGAGGCCTTGATTATGAGGCGGCTCCATCTATTGGTGGGGGGCTGCAGCAGCTGGAAACCCAGGTCTAGCGTCCCTTTGATACATCCATCCAAAGCCTTATACAAAGTATGAAAATCAGTCTCTATTTCTATAGATCAATGACAAACTCAATAGAATAAAAGAAATATGCAAATTTAGCAGTTTTCATGGGCCTGTAGCCTTCCTAAGTCCCTTCTCCCTTTGGCATTTCTTGCAATAGGCAGGCTTTTTTTTTTCTATTTCAAAGGTGCCTTAGGTGACCTTGGTTTTCCCCCCCCCCCCCCCTACATTAGACTCTTCTGTCAACTCCTTTTCCCCTTTCTATACCTACCTACTCCTAGGGCTACTGTACAACTGACATTTCGTTAAAACTGACATTTTTTTCGAAATTCACGAATTTCAAACCGAGCGTTCCAAAAAAACAGCATTTTTTAGTTTTTTTTTGTCCCCATGACGTCGGATGATCAGGCAACTCCCGATGATCTGATCATCGGATGTATGTTTAACTTAACAGCACGTTACTTTGAGGTGAGGTACATCAGATGGACAAAGTGAAATAACCACTTTCAGAATCTCACCCAATGAGCAATGAAATTTTGACTAAGTTCACTTTCGTGAATTTAGAAAAAAAATGTCAGTTTTAACGAAATGTCAGTTATATAGAGGGGACCCCTGCAAGCATAGCTACTTCTCACGGTGAAGGGGTTATTGCGTGGCGTCCCTTGCCCTATTTTTTAAGGGTGCAGGGTTGGGGCCTTCCAGTGAAGAGGTTGGCTCCTTGTTTTGTTTTGTTTTTTTTGCAAAAGATGAAATTTATTATACAAGCTGAAAATGGGTTCAGCATCCCTCTCAACCAAAAGCAACATTCCCGCATGATCCGCGCACTCCGGCCAGGTTCATCCCTGGGCCGCTCAGTCCATGGCTTGTAGACAGAAGGTCCAGTTCCAGTAGTATACCCTCTCAAGAGCGCACAAACAGACAAAAAAGGGGAAAACTAGCAAACTATCGTCTTCCCCCGAACACAACGCACCCTTATTTTGGCTGTATCTTGCCGTACATTCATTTTTAGGGTGCGTTATGTTCGGGGGAAGACGGTAGCGTCCTCACCTGAATACAACTTTTCTTCTTTTGTTTTTGGGGGGTAACTTCAGTAGAGTCACGGAGACGAGTTATAATTGCACCATGGGGCAAGATACAGTTTGCAATTGCACATGGGGCACCCTACACCTGGCCAGAAAGCTGGGTTGTATACGTTGCCCGAACTATAATTTGAAACTGTATCTTGGCCAATTATAGTGCAATTATAACTCATTTTTGTGACTCCCGCCTAGTTTGCCCAATCTTTTTTTTTTTTGTTTTCTCCATTCCCCGCTGCCGGTTGTTTGCCTCCTGTCAGTCCTGTGTGACTGACAGTGTGTCAACTGCCGCCGTATTGTTTTTCAAGCGGGGAAAGTTACTGATGGTTTAATCGCAAGCATACCTCTTTAAGTAATTTTACTAATTTAGTACAACATGGGAAATTTGGGCCCTAAAGGGCCTTAAAGTTGTATTTGACTGGCCGCCTGGCCCGCCAGAAAAAAAAAAAAAAAAAAAAAAAAAAAAAAAAAAAAAAAATAGCCATGTTCGTTGTTCGACAATGATTTTTTAGCCATCTTTCCAGAAACCTTTCTTATGAATTCCACTATCTTATGACTCTACTGAAGTTACCCCTACTTAGGGGAAACTACGGGGGAGGGAGTCACGAAAAAGAGTTATAATTGCACTAAGGGCCAAGATACAGTTCCAAACTTCAGTTCAGGCAATGTATACAACCCAGCTCTCTGGCCAGGCGGGGGGCCTGAAGTGCAAT